AGTCCTAAGGGTATGTATGGAGTTTGAAACAAAACAATGCAGAATGGTAGACACTTTTTCTTGTTCACTTCGCATGGGCAGTTTTCAAAATATGTAATCTTTTTGTATCCTGCCATTCTTAATCTTATTGAATTACACCTGAACTCGGCTGCTGTTTGTAAGTGGAAGAAGTGTTGACCATTAAGACATATGAGGCGATCTCTCACCTCTGCAGGCTTCCAGTTCCCGGAAGAGAAGCATTAGTGCAATAGAGGATGAAATGGAGGAGGAGATTGGACTGAGAAGAGAGAAAAAGAAACCAAGCAAACCTGTCACAGTGAAAGAAGAGAAGAAGGACTCAAGTGAGGTGGTAGTTGAAGTAAGTGGGCCAGTCTGGTTGGAAGTAGAACTGGAACCCTATCACTAGAAATTACTGTGACTGTTCCACCTCAGTTCTCTTCCTTCTAGAGCTTTTACCAAAGCTTCAGGCACCTAATTTGGAGGAAGTTGGTGAATGAAACATTGTCCAAATGAATAATTTCCATGGTCAACTTCAAAACCAGCATCTGGATCAAACTGGATTTAATAGCTGTAGCCTTAATTTTTATGTGGCAGTAGTGTTCATGTGCTTGAGATGACACCAATGTGATAAAATGGTTCCAGTGTTATATAATGTATAGGGAAGACACAAAGTCAAGTCCATCCATAGCCGTGGCACCTTGCTGGATGATTTTAGGCCCAACCTATGTTGCAGGAATGAACAGTTGTAGATCCGTATGCTAATCTGAGCTCCTGAAGGAAAGATGATATGAATGAAAGAATGAGTGAATGAATGAATGGGATTTTTATGTGAAGAGACAGCTGCACATAAAAATTAGGCATTTGTCTTGTCAAAAAGGAACCAGTTGGTTAAATATGGAGCTATAATTTCTGTATAATTCTGTATAATTTAGTGTGAGTTAGATGCTTTCGTTAATTATAAAAATGTGAAAATGATTTTAATATAATTATAATAATGTAATATACATTATTATAATTATATTAAAATCATTTTCACATTTTTATAACTAACAAAAATGATTTTAATATAATGTATATCCCCTTCATGGATCACTGCCTTGTCGTGGCGAAGGGGCTTGCGTAACTCAGT